TAATCTAAATTAGTTTATACTGGGTTAGTAATCAGATGGGTTAGTATAATCTGGGTTAATAATAAAAAGGGTAATTCATAATTTAGGCTATTAATAATCTAAATTAGTTTATACTGGGTTAGTAATCAGATGGGTTAGTATAATCTGGGTTAATAATAAAAAGGGTAATTCATAATCTGCATCAATAATAATCTAGGTTAGTATAATGTGGGTTAGTAATCAGATGGGTTAGTATAATCTGGGTTAATAATAAAAAGGGTAATTCATAATCTGCATCAATAATAATCTAGGTTAGTTTAATCTGGGTTAGTAATCAACTGGGTTAGTATAATCTGGGTTAATAATAAAAAGGGTAATTCATAATTTGGGTTATTAATAATCTAAATTAGTTTATACTGGTTTAGTAATAAACTGGGTTAGTATAATCATTATTAATAATAATCTGTGTTAGTAATCATCTATGTTAATAATAATCTGGGTTATTAATAATCTGGGTCAGTATAATCTAGGTTAGTAATCATCTGAGTTAGTGTAATCTGGGTTATTAATAAAATGGGTTATTCATAATCTGCATCAATAATAATCTAGGTTAGGATAATCTGGGTTAGTAATCAGCTGAGTTAGTATAATCTGGGTTAATAATAAAAAGGGTAATTCATAATTTGGGTTATTAATAATCTAAATTAGTTTATACTGGTTTAGTAATTAACGGGGTTAGTATAATCAGTAGTAATAATAATCTGGGTTAGCAATCAGCTGGGTTAGTATAATCTGGGATAATAAAAATATGGCTTAATAATAAAATGGGTCATTAATAATCTGGGTTGTTAATAATCTGGGTTAATAATTGTCTGGGTGAGTATAGTCTGGTAATCTGGTTAAATAACTTTGCTTACTAGTAAACCGTTTTTGTTTGGGTCAAAATGACTTTTTCTCTGTGCCTTGGTACAATAAAAAAATAAATAAATGTGTTTCCTCAGATTAACAGTGCAAATGACGGCGGCATCCTGAAGGGAAACTGGGGAAATGATTTCAGAGGGGGGGTCTCCCCTACTCACTGGAGCAGCAGCTACGTCATTCTTCACAAGTGGTTCAACTCAATCTACTGCTCTGTGAAGTACGGCCAGTGTTGGGTGTTTGCTGGTGTCATGTGTTCAGGTAAGATCCTGGACTTTAGAGATACTCCGAACTTCACAGAACTCTTTAGACCAAAGGTCTTCAACACCGGGGTTATAACCCCTGAAAGGTCTTAGGGGTGGCATAAGGTTGTTAAAAACATTTTTCTACAAAAAAAAAAAAGTCATTTAAAACTGTGGAAATAATCTAAAAGTGAAAAGAAAATATTTAGAAACTGCTTTTACTTTGTGAATTGTTTTTTTCAGTTTCAGAATGGGGAGGGTTTAGATGATACGGGGTTTGGGATGATGACTGACAGATGAGATGAGCAAAGCGAAATGGCGGGTGAGTTGGAGATAATCAGCTCCAGGCCTGGAATGTATCACAGACCTCTGCTGTCTGTCATCGTTCCACGCCACATGACATCTAAGCCCCGCCCCCATGCCGAGGATGCAGCATTTTAAAACAAGAAACTATGAAAACTGACACTTTAAACTTTAATCTAAAAAAAGGCTTATATTTATTTTAACATATTTTTTTTCAGTTTAATTTCCTTTCATTTCTTTTTTTTTTGTGAGTTTTAAAAATGCTATTTATTTAACATTTTTGTTTACATAGAATGACTATGAAGAATTTTATGGCCCCAATTTAGCTTCATATTGAATTTATTTTTAGATTAAATCACAAACAATTAGGAAAATCTGCAATATAACTTAGATGTGTTTAATTTACAAAGGTACCACATGTTTGCATTAAGATTTGATAACTGCACACCTGCATATTTAAGGTGGAAATTAAACTGCTCTAAACAGCTTAAAGGAATAGTACACCCAAAACATGATTAGCCTTCATTTTCTACTC